TGTTCGACCCAATGTGAACTATTGAATGTAGTTTAGATAAAAGAATTGTTTACTAATTCTCTCATCATAAGCTTTAAAGAATTTCTTTTTCAAATTTAAAAAGATTTACAATTTTCTAACCAACGTATACAATATTGTATAAAACAATTATCACGAAAATATATAATAAGTTGAATTGTTCTTAAAGTTTATATTAAATGATATTTTCTCCAAAAAACAATTAAAAAAAAATATTTATGTGTTTAGGTAAAAGTAAAAATATGCACGCTATAATCTGATACTTAACAGTTAACATGTATTTTGTTGATGCATAACTTTCTTACTATTTTATAAAGAAGTAAAGAGATAAACCTTGATTTAGTGGGTGATTGGTTGGGCTGTAACTGTAGATTAATTGCTGTAGAATTTGGGCTGTAGACGTTTTTGCTGTAACTTTAGAATTTTGGCGGTAACTATTCGAAAGTTAAAATATAATTGGTAAGTAGTACATGTATGCTGTACAATTTTTTATAATTATAATTATAAAATAAATTAATTGATATATATATTTTTCTTTTTGGTAGGTATAATTGATATTTATATTAATAATGTATATGGAAAATGTATTTAACTAATATAATCTTGTTTCTATATAAAATTAAAAGAAAATATGCATATATATTAATATTATATATAAGTAGTACATATATATTAATATTTTGTATAAGTAGTACATATATATTAATGTTTTTATATAAATTAGTATAAAAATTGTGTGTGTATATATAACATATCTGTATATAACTATGTATATAAAAATTGTAAATTACGTAACACAAATCATTTTATAACAAAATGTGTTGTGTATTGTATATAATATTATAATATATATATATAGAATTAAGAGGAGAGAGAAACGTGAAGGAGAAAAAAATCTGAAACAAATTAAAATAAAATACGAAAAGGAAAATACAAGCGTACAACCTTTTGTTTTTTTCTACAGCAACCAAAATATGACTGTAGAAAATAAGAGAGTTATAGCAAACAAAATTTTTTTTGACTTTAGCTTTTAAAACTAATTTAAAGACTGATTGATAACTTTTAGGGCTGTACAAAAATTTTGAGGCTGTAACTACTTTCTACAACCCAACCAATCACACCCTTACTTTACTATAAACAATTCTACGGTAGAAAAAACATTTATACGGTGAACATGGACGTATCTTGTATGCATTATTACTTAATTTACTCTTCCTTGAACGAAAGTAAAAAGAGAGTTCCTGACCC